GTGTCTCCAGAATCACTGTTACTACGACCTTGCAGTCACACGAGGCAGACACAACCTTGGGTGTGTGGACTCTCGTCTAAAATAAATGTGCTGTCGTTGGTTTAACTCTGCTCCTCAAATCTGCCTCTCTCCCACGCTCTCCGGGGAAAAAAACAGGCCAGTCCCTGCACCTGGTCCCATGGTCCAGGTCCCACCGAGGAGGTCCTCAGTTCCTGGGTTTGCACCCTTCCCAACAGTGGGCTCTTTCAGTGGAGTCCCTGCAATGGTGCTGCTTCTCTCGCTGTGTAAACAAGCAGGGCTCAAGAAGTAAAAGGCAGCGTTCACGCCCACTTCCCTTCAATTCCAAGAACAAGCACAGGCCAAGTGTAGCACTTCACGTCTCTCCCGGTTTCAAAATGTATGCTGCAAACCACACTGATTAAAATACCCTCGGAGGGGATCCTAGGTATAACTTGAAATTTCCCATTTACATTTCCACGCGTTCACATAACAACAGAAATCAAGTACAGATGATTAAGTCACCCTTTGTACATTTTTTTTCTCTCCTTATTTTTTAAAATGTGTTTTGTATAAAGCAAATAAACTTCTGGAGGCTGGAACTATTACTTACCAGTTTACCTGGTAGTCCTGGGGGTCCTACTGGTCCTATTTCTCCTCTACTGCCCTGGAAAAACACAAACATGACCGTCCACTGGCTAGTTTGCCGAAACTCAAATGCTTAATTACTGCGTCAGTAAAACAACACTCTACTTAGGTTTTTGTTTAAATACAAAAGTCATCAAAGTATTCTCCCCATCGTCGACTGAAGGCAGAGAGCTTTCCATAAAATGCCCCCAGCCTCCCCAGTGTTTATCCCTTGGTGAATGTGGTCATGCTGTTCCTTGTGATTATGGCCCATTAGATATAGTTTATCTGTGTATATGTTTTATCCTCTCATTAGAGTGTGTGTTCTTGAGGTATTATGTACACCAATTTTGAATTCCACCTAATGCCTAAAACACAGTAAATTTCTGGTCCACAGTACATTTTAAAACAGCATCTAGCAAACGATCTTGAACTGCAAAGGAGTGAAAAAAAGAGAGAGAGAAACAGGACAGGGATGTTTGCCTTTAAATTACTAATGCGACTTCAAAAAGAGATAATAGAAATTTACAAAGTTTCTGACATACAAAATTCTTTGTTCTACTCATTCTTGTTCTAAACATGTCTTAAAAGATTAAATAAACTTTGGAAAGTACAATTTATAATGAAAATACACCGAAAGCAACATTTCAGTTTGTGAGCCAATTTCAATTCTTTATTTGAAACTCTAAGCCCTTTGAGAAAAGGAGACACATGAATTCTTCAATTTCTTTCCCCAAGAACCTCATACAGTCTTATGCAGTCTGATAAAAGCTTGTTTCATTTCTAACTCATATTCAACTAAACTGAACACAAGATTATTGGATAAATAATCACATCTCCTGGACAGTGTATATAAAAATGAAAGTAGTCTTTTGAGTTCATTTTACTTTAAAATGACATGACAACTTCATATTAATTCTTGATATTTATAAATGCTCCTGCTAAGATTATCCTGGTCTGGCCCATATGCTATTCATTTATCTCTAAGTTGAACCAAGTGTCAAGGTCCATAATCCTTCTGAATTTTCAGTTTCTTTAAAGGATTAAGTAATGTTTGCCAAATTACAAGTCTCTAGCTTTGAGCTACACTTAAGTGGCAGTTGTCTCAAATGACTTATAGGTGATTTAAATGAAATGCTCTTAAATACTTTTCAAAAAATTTTATATAAGCAACCTGTTTAATATGTAAGTTTGGATGATACATTGGCCCTTAACCCTTGTGAGCAGCTTAGAAGCCTGAGGCAGGTCTATGAGGATGGGCACTGGAAAGATGTAAGACTAGATGAAAACCAGCCACTGTGATAGGTTCTTCTATCCATCTATTAATATAAAGATTGGGTTGTACACCATTACTTTAGCCCAGCACTTGAAAGTTCAAGACAGATTTTCTTCAGTATATCTGCTCTGTTGGCATTTTCAAGTAATTTCTGAACTGCATCATGATGAAGATCCTAAGTGTCATTGGGCTAACATGACTTTAATTCACAAAATAATTAACAGTCATTGGTAGCAAAACTAATTAATGATATCAGAAGGGGAAAGCAGTTCTTGGCACAACCTCAAGTATTCACTTCTTTCATATATATATATATACACACACACTCACACAAAACCGTTCTTCGGTCAAAGGTATACGAGTAGTTGCGCTCCCCTGTTAGAACCTCCAAACACACTCTCAAGTATTCACTTCTAAATACATGAATCATTATGCCAAAAGAAAGATGATTGCTGTACTTTTTTTCTCTTTCACAAACCAAAGGGCTAAGTTAAAATAAAGGATTGTGTGACTTTTCATTTCTCTTTTGGTGGGATTATTTTGCCAAAGACAAAGATTTTCTCAGCTGGTACTTATTTTCTCTTTCATGAGGTCCTATTAGCCAGTTTGTAAGTGTTTTCCAACCACTGGCAGCCCTTGGTAACACATATGAATGGCTCAGAACCCCAGTGGAGACTATTCTGCTGACCTTCTGTTCCCAGGAGAGCCCAGCATGCACAGGTCAGTAAAATTACAAGCATTACTCCTCTGTTAGTACACAACAAAACAGAATGTGTTCCTCATTTTTTTTCTCTTTCATCCTTTAAATTCTTGGCCATTTTAAACGTAGGTATTTCTATAGAAATCACCTCAAGGTTGAAAAAGGTAATGTTGATTTTCACAACAATGACCAAGCAGTTATGAATAAAGTGTTACGACAAGATTTTCTGATGGCCATTCCTATGATTTCTATGAAATCTAAAAACATGTAAGTAAGATGAACATGAATAACTGAGATATAAATAGTCATCTCTAAAAACATAGGTTAAACTAAACACATGTTGTAGGGAGCAATTAACCATGACCTTGTAACCCCAGGTGTGCTAAACTTATAAATGGTAAATCTCCTATGTTTCAACAGCTGTGGTGATAACCATAGTCTCAGATGTGGGCAAGGGAGACTGGTAGGGATATGGCTTTTCTGCCCAGTAGCTAAGATTTATGAGCCCCGTGACAAGAGTTATGATCTGTAACAAAAGAATTGTAAGGAACCAAAAAAAAAGGCAAAATCCTACCATTAAAAATATGAGGACCATAATAAAAGGCTTTTTTTTTCTTCTTGGATGCTCTGTGCCACCATATATATCTCCAGAATGTTCAGACACATCTGCCAACCACTCCCTACTTAAGAAGCCAATCGAGGCTTTAAAAAAGTTGCAGACCCCCTACCAGTGATTCCCAACTCTGGCTGTGCATCAGAATCCCCCAAAGAGTGTTTTAGAAATATATTTCACTAGATGTCTTCCACCACTCCATCTCCCTGTTCTTCCTCCCATCTGTCCCCCTCTCCCCTAGATTCTTATTCTGTGATTCTGAGGTCAGACCCAGGAATCTGTTTGGGTTTATGTTGTGTGTGTTTGTCTTCACCAGCTTTACTTTAGACTTTTGTTAAATGCTCACTACGAAAATTCCATAAACACTAAAATTTAAAGTTTGCTAAATATGCCTTGTACCTTTAGAATTGGGCAAGCTAACTTCAAATAAAAACCATCCTGCAGAGCCTTGACTCGAGCTGTCAAGGCACTGGAGGGTGGAGATGAAGCTGCGGGCACTGAGCCCCACTGCCAGATCTGAAACCAGGCTCCACCATGTTGGCCCCAACCAACTCCAGCCCCACAACTTCTCCTCTCTGTGCCTCAGTTTCCTCACCTGTAGAGTGGGGATAAAAACAGTACCGATCTCATAGGGTTTTTGAAAGGATTGAATAGATACATAAAGCACTTGGAACAGTATGCGGCTCAGAGTAAGCACTATGAGAGCATTAGTTATTTTTATCCAAGGTTTTACCCAAGAACTATAGAAATCAGTCAAAATTAAGTATTTTAATCTGTTTAATTAAATGTTCTCTGCCTTTCAAATCTCCCAAGTTTCTTTAAAAGTACAAGTTGCTCTTGGGAAAAAAAAAAAAAAAGTCTCTAGTCCTCATTTCTCCAGTTTCTGTCAAGACCATTGATCACCAAGAAGAATCGTCTTCTTTTTTTTTTAGAGAGCGGGAGTCGGGCGGGGCAGGGAGAGAGGGAGACAGAATCCCAAGATGTGGGGCTCCATCTCACAACCCTGAGATCATGACTTGAGCCGAAATCAAGAGTCAGACACTTAACCAACTGAGCCACCCCAAGAAGGCACCAAGAAGGCACCTTCTTTATAAACAAGTATTGAGAGCTATTTTGTAAAACTCATTTCAATAAATACAAATAATTCCATCTGGAAGTCTTCCTTTTAAAATGGAACTACTAGACTTCTAAAACATCACAGAAAAAAATCTACTTCATTATACTTGTGTTGTCATAAGTATTTTGCAAAAAAAAGAAATTTAGATTTTATTCCATTGTGCTCTAGATTGTGATGGTGGTTGTATTTGCCTGATTACCCAAAATGCTAACTAGTTGAAGAATGAACGTTATTCTTAGTACCATGCTAATTTTAGAAGTGAGAAATTATAAATCATTATACTTAGTCTGAATTATATACATAAGTGCCTCTCTCTGGGAAAAGGGATGCTGATTAACCCAGAAGATCAATTATGACTTCTACAGATTGTTGCTTTTACAAACCCATATTCATGTTAACATTGGAAGATCATATTAGTCCTACCACAATGATAATTTTTAGGTTTGCCATAAAGATATTTTAAAAATCTATTCAATTTTACAGCATTGTATAGTTTATATTTTTCTCTGGTGTAGGTTTAAATATTCCCTCACACACAGAGGCAGATCAAAATCTATAACCATCACAGCTGCTTCACAGATTATTGACAGGGATAATTTTTCATGGCCTGGGTGGCACGGGGATGGTTTCGATCATTCCACCACACACCATCTGGGGACCTCTGTGCTCAGAGCTGTTGGTGATAGGGTGGGGGTGGGACCTCAAGAGAGACGAGAGAGGCTCTGGACTCGAGGAGTGTATAATCTTCAGAAAACTGGAAGTAGATCAGCACGGCACTCATCCCAGTCAGAAACATGAGAGCAGAGCAAACACAACTCACTCAGCAAAAGCCCTGGCTAGTTCTGGGAAGCCTGAAAGAGGGAAATGGACCAGGAGCCACGGCGTCGAAGGCCCCCACCATTCTCCTGGTGTAAACCAGGAGTCACCCAGATCCAGGTATAACCAGTAGTGTGAGCAAGAAAGCCAGAAGCACCATCCAAGGGGTAAAGATACGTGCTCACATGTAATCGCTGGAGGTGACCAAAAAAATTCCGATGTGTGTTGCTGTGACACAGGGCTAAAGCTCTTAGAACAATGGTTTGAAAGGGGAATACCACTTAATTTCAAAGACGTGCTCCAATTAGCCCTGGTCCATTAGTAGAACACATTAGAAAGAGGTTTTCATTCCTTCTACTCAGCTTTTCAACTTGACATTCGCAGGAAAAACTGATAAAACTTGTGGGGAATCGCTGAAAATGTGTGAAGTTATCTATGAAACTAAATGTAATGATGCAAGATGAAAGAACAAATGTATCTTTCTGTCAGTAGATTTGGTGTTAAAACTCTGCTCCAGAACTTCAATACTTACAACCTCTCACGACACTTTTCTGTAAAATTTATAGTAGGTGAGAAGTCAATTATTACCAACATAAGCAGCATAGCGAGATTTATTATACCTCCAATTCAATTCATTTTTAGAAATATTGAGCACCACCTTGCGACAGGCCCTGAAGGAAGAGATGTAGGGAATGCAAAGGTGGATCAGAGGTGTCCCTGCTTCCCTGCAGTTCCCACAGCATGGGGCAAAAGGGGCCCGGGTTACAAGGTTCAGAATAAGGAGAGAACACTTCTACCTGGGGGATAGGGCATAATCAGAGATGGTTTCACTGTCAAATTAACATTTCAGTTACCTCTAAGAAGGGACATGGGCTGTTGAGTCAGAGAAATGGGGAAGAAAGCCATCTAAGGGCAGAGTGTAACAAAAGAAAACAGGTGGACTGAGAAGTGCAGAGATTATTTGGAAATGTGCATGGAATCCAGCTTGACTTGAACACAGGCTCTGAGCAAGGCAGAAGTGAGATGTAAAACCAGGGGATAAACAGACAGTTTAAGACTTGGTACTTCCTTTTCTCGCCAGTGGAAATCCACTGAAGATCTTTAAATAAAGAAGTGATGATGGAAGCTGTACTTGGAACAGACCAATATGGCAGTGTGTGCAGACTGGGATCTTGGCCACTCCCTGGGCCTTTGGCATTGTGTCTGACACTCTTATTTGTCACCACGACTGGGGGAACCCTACTGGAGTTCTAGGGTGGAATCCCAGGGAACTGAAGAGCTATCCCAGCCAACATACCAGGAGTACCTTGTTGGGGAACACTGGTAGGGGAAGGAAAGAAGCTGGAAAGGCAAATCAGGAGACATCTGATAATCCAAGTATCAGGTAATGATCTGAGCCGGGATGGTGAAGGTGGGCTTAGAAAAGAAGAGTCAAATACAAGAGACCTTAAAAAGGAGGAGGTAGAAGGCCCCTGGGTGGGTGGCTCAGTCAGTTGGGTGTCTGTTTTTGGCTTGAGTCACGATCCTGGAGTCCCAGAATTGAGTCCCGAGTCAGGCTCCCTGCTTAGTGGGGAGTCTGCTTCTCCCTCTGCCCTTCACCCCGCTTGTGCTCGCTCTCTCTCTCTCAAATAAATAAATAAAATCTTTAAAAAAAGGAGGCAGTAGAATCAACAGGTCCTATTGGAGACAGGAAACATGATGGAAGAACACCAAGGCTTTGAGCCACAGTGATTGGAGCAAAGAGAATCTGGACATTTACAGAAACTCAAAAATCAAAATCTGAATCAGGCTCAAAGCTTGCATAGGCAAAACAGATCTGCCTCCCGTCACATGAGAGAACTAAACACCCTCCACCCCATCTCCTCCTGCAGTTCTTGCCTCTAGTTCTTTATACATCCCATGGCACTTAACCGATGATGGGCCAAGCCCTCTCTACTGTGTCACTTTTTGTGTTCAGTGCATGGATCAGACATAAAACAGGTGCCCCTTCAACTTTACTGTTCCCTGCTCTATAAAGGGAATATTAGACTTAATAACCAACATTCTCAAAGTTCCAGTGCCCCTCTCCCACACTGTTAAATCTTTCTGGACCAGTCATATAGCACCTTCATTGTTTTAGGAATATGGTCTAGCTACAAACTCATTGCTTTGGCAGTCGATTAAAAAAATTACTTTAATTAGAAGTTCACGGGCTTCAAACAAGAGAGAAGAAAAGAATAACAGCAGTAAAAAAAAAAAAGAATAACTGAGCAGTGAGTGATCAAGGAGCATAATGAGGAGCAGTAGCTAGTTTCTTTGGCTGCAGAGAAACTTCTGGAAACCACCTGATAGAGGTCAGTTGACAAACACCTGTGAGAAGTAGAAAAATTCCCCTCTCATGTCAAGACACCTGGAATATTTCACTTCTTTGAAATGAAAATTGTCATTCAACATGCTCATGAAATCCTTTAAAAGAAGTAACAACAATATTTGGAAATGTTTCTGTGTTCTCACTTGGAGTTCTTTTTGTTACCCAGCAGATTGTTTTTTAAAGATTTTATTTATTTATTCATGAGAGACAGAGAGAGAGAGAGAGAGGCAGGGAGCCCGACTCGGGACTGATCCCAGGACCCCGGGATCACGACCTAAGCCGAAGGCAGACGTTTAACCGACTGAGCCACCCAGGCGTCCTCCCAGCAGCTTTTAAAAATGAGAACCTAAACTGAAGGCCAGAGAAAATTTTTTATGGTTAACATTTGGTGCATAGTGTTTAATTTCCTAATCAGTTTCTCTCTAAGGGTTAAAGTGTATCTAGTGAGACAACTTACATTGCTGTATTGGCTGCAAAATAGATACTTTTACAGACTCACACTAAAAAGTCTGGCAGTTTTTCAAAAGATTAAATACAGTTGCCACATGACCCAGAAATTCCACTCCTAGGTGTTCTACTCAAGAGAAATAAAAATGTGTGTCCACAGGAAAACTGGTAGAAAAAATGTTCACAGCTTCATTATTCATAATGGCCAAAAAGTGGAAACAACCCAAATGTCCATCAGTAGATGAAAGAATGAAGGAAAGGTGGTATACCCATGCTACTGAGCATCAGCCAGCCGTAAAAAAGAATGAAGTAGGGATACATGCTACAGCATAGCTAAGCCTTGAAACACGCTGAAGGAAGCCATTCACTGAAGAAACCCCAACCTGTATGATTCTATTTATATGAAATTTTCAGAACAGGCCAATCTAGACAGAAAGTGGATTAGTGGTTGCCTAGGGCTGAGAGGATTGGGAGGAAATGTTGAGTGACTGCAAGTGGACACAGAGGAGGTTTTTTCGGGTGATGAAAAGGTTTTAAAATTGACTGTGGCAATGGTTCCATAATTCTATAAATATGCTAAAAATCAATGAATGGTATGCTTTAAATCGTTGAATTATATAGTATATGAAGTACAGCTCAGTAAAGTTGTTTTTTTAACCACACTAAAATATTTCCTTCAGCATGAGATAAGAGCAAAAAGGGTCCTCATGCTTTTTAAAAATACTTTAAAAATTTTTAAAAAGCAGATTGTATACACGACTAGCGTTCCCGTTTCACTGTATCTCTCAACTAGCACATGCTCAAACTTGAGAAGGAATTCATGGATAAATGAATAAATGATTGGAAGGACACCCAGCAAAACCCTGAGAAGGCACTTCGGAAGGTTCTATAGAAAAGGAGTACTCACAGGAAGCCCCCGGGGTCCTCGGGGTCCTACATCGCCTGGCAGCCCCTGTTGGCCCTGTTATGAGGAAGGCAGGGAAAGAAAAAGTTAACACTCCCGAATTCTCTGCTGAGTGATTACAACAGGTGATCACATAAGGAAAGGTAACTCATGTCATCTTACCGGTTTGCCTGAATTCCCCAGCTGACCAGGCTTCCCTGGAGCACCTGTGTTACCCTAAAGGTAAAATGCGACATTCGGAGTAATTCAGACAGCAAGTAAGAAAAATCATCAACCTGTCTTACCCAAACTAGGCATTTCTTACACCTAAATAGCATTAATTTCCCAATTTCACATTGAGAATTTGGGAGGATATAGAATCTCTTTCTTGGTGGCTACGTTAAAGTTCTTTAGATTCAGGATCCTGTTCTCTTATTCCCAAAAGTATAATAAAGGTATCAAAAAAATGTTCAAAAACGAAGGTCAAATGTCAAAAAATGAATAAGAAGATTTTTCTTTCTTCACAATGTTAATTACATTTACCATTTCTATCTCCAATAAACTTCTCGGAGCCCTTTCATCTGACACTGACACTATTAAAATTGAAAAGAAACCTGTGAATATGAGGAATAGGTGGATGTGCTGTTGAGAGGACCCTGCCAGCAAGCTCCAGAGAAAGCACATGTCTGGGGATCCATCTCCACCATCAATGTCTTACGGTCCACTTAGGAAGGGAGCATTTCTGCTGAGGATGCTATGGACCCCAGTAATTGGAGAGCTATAACCATATAACCCAGTAGTGACCAAATTCTACTTTACTCCCATGTTATCTCTTTTATTTAGATTAAAGCTATATCTTATCCCTTTAATTTTTCCTTCACCTATTGCTTTTAATTGCCGCAACATAAGCACTGGTTGATCAATCTGAGAACGAAATGTTTAATATCTTTTTAGTTTAAGCAAAATCATGTTAGTAATATTCACTGACATAATTTCTATAGCTTAATCATAATTTCCTTATTTTAAGTGGTAAAGAGCAATAACACTGTCTCTGTTTTGAACTGACAAAGGATGACACTTCCAGGAAAGAAGTCTAATCAGCAACAATTGGTCAAAGTATTCTTTCTGCAGCTAGGAAAGAGGTTAGCATTTGAGGCCTTAAAAAAAAAGCCTTTTTTTTTTTATTTCTCCTTAGGATCAAATATAAAATAAAAGGCAGGTTGTAAATACTAAAAATGATAAAGCATATTAATGAAAAAATAAAAAAAGAGAAAAGTAGTTAAAAAGTTTTCATCTTTTACCTTTTCACCAGCAACACCCTTTGCACCGGGAATCCCAGGTACACCCTATAAGAGGACACACAGAACATGAGTTGAATCACCTCAGTGGGGAATCTGTGAGAGGCCATGCCTACTGCACACTGCCGAGGGGCTGAGAGAATCAGGACAACATCAAAGCTTTAGCGTGAGGGAGATTCTTCCTAGTTCCCAAATTCTGAACGGTTCTAGAACTACCCACAGTTTAGAAGGAATTACTTTACTCTATCTGGCTTGTTAAGTCTGAATACCCTTAGGCAAATCCTACCTCTAAACTAAAGTTATTTTTCAAGCATGAATTTCCAAATTACAATCCAGTCAAGGGGAGCTCCTACCAGCATGATCCTATGCACAGAATAACAAAACAAAGACCTACTGAAATGCTAAACCTGAAGTAGAAAAACGGAATGGTAGGAGAACGCTGGCTCAAACTAAAATCTGGTACTATTGGGAGTCCTAATGTTCTCTAACTGGTTATTTTAAAATGTCAGATATCATAATAAATTGAGGTCAGCCCTCAAATTACCAAGTATCCCTTTATTACCTTGAAACATTTGTCTCCAAGAATACATCTGTATAATCCACGTTAACCTCTAGACACATCAATGCAGGGAAATGCCAATTCGAATAATTCAAAATAGCACACAATCAAAAAAGTGGTATCTTATACCTCACATCGTTCCATGAGCATACTCTCAAGCCTCTTATGACTCAACTCTGCTAACAAGAACTTCAGAACTGGTGAAAAGGAGGAGGGAGCATGTGCTCCTGGTCCACAGCTCAGAGTTAGTAAAAAGATAAGAAAGACTGAGTGAACTAAAGAGAGAAGAAGAATGCAAAATACAAATTAAAGCTTAGTATAATTATTAGAGAAATAGTTCCTTATTCAGGAAAAAAGTATAAAATGTAAAACTGTAAAAATGTAAACTTAAAGCATCATATTTCTTCCCCGGAACTTGTCAAATTATTTGTTTCTCCCTAAAATTTGTATTTTCCAAATATGTAGCTAAACCAATAAACATTTAAAGACCCAAATACTCACAGGTAAGCCCTGCAATCCTGCATCACCAGGAGGCCCAGGCTTCCCCGGTTCACCCTGAGAAAAGAAGTTTTTATTGCATCATTGAACGTGTGTGAGCTGCTATAAGTCTTTCAAGAAAAGAAATGACACAGGGCTTCTGCGTAGAAGGATTCCTTACAGGTGACCTTATGTGCACTTTTATAACATGATCCAGTTCAGGGCGGGGGGCGGGGTACGGGGGACGGGATGGGGAGGATGGACTTGGAACATAAATTTAATCAAAATACACAATCTCTTTCAACTGCTTTCATCAACAGGGCATTTCTACTGAGTTCCTAAAACCAAGTAAACAAACATACTATTCTAATAGTATTTTTGAGTTGACACTTGATGAAAAAACTAAACGGAGGAAAAAAGCCAAAACCAGCTGAGTAAATCTCCCAGTAATGTAGTAATGGAAATGCTGGGCTCGGTTGGCCAGGGCTACACAGCTACCTTTGTCCCGGGCATTCCAGGTATTCCGTCACGGCCGTCCACACCTGGCAAGCCCTAAAGACACACAAAGCAACACACTGTGTCTTAGAAACAGTCGCATTCTTCTTCCCTTCATTATTTTCTAAAGTTTTATTACCAGTTAATAATCACTTGGAAAAATGTGGTGGATGACTATGGCTCAGGACATACCGTGTCTCCTTTGGTCCCAGGGACGCCAGGAATTCCTCTAGAACCTTGAGGGCCCTTGCAGAGCAGAAGGGAAGGGACAGACAAGACACGCTCATTTATCACGACACTTTGGACACATCCAAGAGATAAGCATAATCAGCAGAGGACGCCAAAAAAGCACGATGTCTGTAGTGACTGACATGACTTTGAACTCACTCTATCTCCCTTGGGACCTATTTCTCCTGGAGGTCCTCGCTGTCCTTGATCACCCTGTATGAAAATAAAATGTTGTTAAAAATAGCAAAAGCTACTTATTGATAGACTTTTGAAACTATAAAACACCATCTATCTATATTACCTTATTACTGCTCTTTCACCCCAATGCTTTGCTCTGTCGTGGATGCCTAGCTCAAGAAATCTTTTTATAAAAATTACATTGTCTTAAAAATTTATATTGCCATAGGGATCACAGAGACTCACCTGTCCTTTGATTTCATTTTAAATGTGTAAAGCTTCTGTGCTCTTTGGATCCCTACTGCAGGTAACCTTAACATCAGTAACTATGTCTACATATCAGCTAAACTCATTGACGATCATGGTGGGTTGAGGTTTGGGTCAGTTGCCTATCTTTTCTCCATATTATTTCACTCTCCAGGCAATAATAATGGTTTCTGTCAAAATTATCCAGCTAATGTTGATTTATGGTATAGAGGGTAATAGATGAGAGGATGTGTCTTCCTAAACTAGAGCTTTTGTTGAATTGCATAACTAGTCTAAAACCTCAAATGGCTAACTATTGCTACTAGATCAGTTCAAATTGCTCACATTGGCATTAAATACTCTCCACAATGTGATCCTGCCTTATATATTCAATTTCATCTTCTCAACAGAAACTTTCCAAGCCAAGCAATAACAGTCCCTATGACAACACCCCCCCCCATCACCACCAACAGCGCTCCTTCTCAGCTGTACACTGCTGCCTTTCCCACCCAGAACAGCTTTCCAGATCAACCTGCCTCCAGGATCCTCTTCTTACACGCATCACCTCTACCACCTACTCCAGTGCTGGATCTCGTAATGCGTAATGTAGTTACATTCTGTCTTTCCCATTGGGCTATAAGAGCTTGATAGTTGAAAATTCTATTTCTCTTATACCTTTTCTACTTATTCTGTGATAAAGGTTCTGGTTATTAATGGGTGGCTTATTTATTTATTTCTAGAAAAGGTCTGAGGCAGCCTATAATAATAACACAGGTACATATAGCAGTCAAAATATAGAATAATGAGATCAGAAATCACAGAAAAGGATAGAATTACCCAAGAACCTGAAATGAGACAGTTACTGTGACTCTAAGCGTCCTGGCAGCCAAAACAAAAGGAAAACACAGCAAACATAGAAACTTAACAATTTGACTTCACCTATGTGAAAAAAACCCATATCAAGTCAAAAGAACATTTCTCTTTATTCAAGGAAGTGATGCTTATCTTTATTAAAATTTGTTTAAATAAATATAAAAACTACTGCCAATTTTACCACTTTAATTATTCACATGTAAAAGACACTTGCATGCACACACACACACACACAGCAAATAATCTATGATCACTGCTAAATAATCTATCCTTGGGTCTTGTAAAAGGAAAACTACTTACAGGTGCACCAGGAAGACCTTGAGGTCCAGGTTCTCCATCTAAGCCCCGAGCACCCTGCAAAAAAACAAGACAGAGAAATGAAATTGAGATCAGTCATTAAAAGGCACATCAGTCTTTCCATGGAACATTAATAGCCAGATAAAAAGGAGGTTTTGTGTCTGTAATATATACTGTATTCATTGATGAACCCCAGGGAGTATTCACTTGGGTACCTCAGATATGAAAACACTAGTTTACATCTCCTCATCCCACCAAGAGTACTGATGGCCAATCTTTGATACCACTCTGGATATTTTAACACTGCAGCCATTCTTGATTGATGACATGAATTATAAACACTGGTACCTATTTTGAGAAGTTGGCAAACCTATCAGAGGAGATTTGGGAGTCACCCTCCGGGGTTCTCAGGATTCCTATGGCTATTCATTCATGGTGAAGACCAAGGAGCCACCCAAAGAACAGAATGGTTGCCATGGACTGCTGCTGCCACAGCTGTGAGTGGGATTCTGTGACACTGGATTTCCACCAAGATCCAGATTCAGAAGTCCAGTCATGTGATTTAGAAAAATGAATTGTAATAAGGATTTGAGTAGCCCCCATTCCATCCTAGATAGACATTAGGTTTGGTTAACATAAAAATAATACATCTATTTTCTTTTTTTAAAAAAATTTTATTTATTTATTTGAGAGAGAGAGAGAGAGAATGAGAGACAGAGAGCACGAGAGGGAAGAGGGTCAGAGGGAGAAGCAGACTCCCTGCCGAGCAGGAAGCCCGATGCGGGACTCGATCCCAGGACTCCAGGATCATGACCTGAGCCGAAGGCAGTCGCTTAACCAACTGAGCCACCCAGGCGCCCAATACATCTATTTTCTTAACAACAGATTCACCCTACCAAGAGATGGAAACTACAGAGCTTTATAAATCTAATTATCTTGAAATCAACGGTGACTTGGTTATATTGTACATTTCACCTCCTTATTTAATGATAAGAATCAAAATGTGATCTTAAAACAAAAATATCGGGGGTTTTTAGTGCTTCCTGCATATGCTACATGATAAAATACAACCCCCTTCTTTAAATCTTTTTCTCATCCGCTAAGTGAATAAGGCAGAAGGGTGACTGAAGTCAACAGGCCATCTCCTAATGAATAGGGTTGAGATAAGGAGATGATAAAATAAATGGAAAACAGTCAAAAGAGTGCTGGATGGATGTCAGGCCAAGAAAACCAGGTGGACAGCATCTGTAGTAAGAATTAAGAATTAGAAAACCTTTGATAGAAGGTTCAGAAAAGGCAGAATCAAAGAAAGAACACAACTGAAGCAGAGGCACCACAGAGACTTGAAATTCTTTGATCCCTAAAAACTAGAAGAGAGCAGAAAGCATTTTACATTCACCAGGGAAGAAGAGGTTTGGAAGACCTGAAAAAGACCTTGAATTCATCATTCACCTTGCGTTGTGAGCGTGGAGCCCGGCCTTTGCATTATAGAAATGTCTGTGATACACTCACTCTCTCTCTTATTTCTGTTCAGCATGAGCTCAGTCCCAAAATGCTGTTACTAGGCAACCACTCCAGGGGTCTGAGTTCATAAGAAGAGCTTGCTTTTTTTTTGCTTTTTTTTGCTTTTTTGTTATTGAAAGCAATTTGACAGAACTCAAAGGAAATGAGAAATTTTGAAAAATGCCAAGTAAAAAAAATACTTCAAATAAAGAGCATATCAAGAACAGTAATTGGTTTCAAAGTGTGGAGTCACATATTTTAGATGATTTAAACCCAGAAAAAGCAAAGGCCTAGGTATCAGCAACTTCAAAATAAATGGGATTTATTATTTAATAACAGAAGAGATACACACAGAATGTTACTTAAGGTAACATGAATATAGAAATATGAAGTATGTTTTTTTAAAATACAGTGTTTTTAGAAAAGATATTCTGGAGGAAATAAAAGAGTAAAACAGGCAGAATGACAATACCTAGAAGGGACAAAGTGGCTGAAAAAAAAATGAAGTTGATGGAATGGTCACAAAATAATTCCTTCAATTTCCAAAAATGTGCATTTCTTTTAGAAAAATTTAATTTATGGAGCACCTACAATGTGCAAGTTATTCCTGCTTAGCTGTTAATAAAAGTCTCTGTGCTTCTTTGTGAAATGACACAAATTAGCCATAGAAGTTCTAAAGAGAAAGAGGCGAGGGTCAGAAGTGGTGTCAGGCAAAGTGCTTTTTTTGTTTCTCCTGGAACCTACAAATTGGCTTTCCTAATATACTCTCTAAGTGGTAACCATTTTCTTAAAATCTGATAGAGAAGCTAGACACAGCCCTACACACACACACACACACACACACACACACACACACATACACACACAGTGAGAAAAACATTTCTGAGCACATCAGGAATGTCCAGGTTTCCACTGTTTCTGTTTATGATAATCAGCCAGCCAAGCATTCCCCATCCTCCATCCTCCACCAGTGGGAACATGTCATCCTTCTAGGCCTGGCATCTTTCTAATGTCACCTCCTCCATGAGCCCTCCCAGTTCTCTGATCAAGAATAGCCAGCACTCCTTCGTCTTCCCTCCCTTACTCTACTTGCCCTCAAATTCATGTGTCTCTTGTTCACACTGTAGTTAGCTATCTACTCGTTTGTTTCTCCCAATAAATAACAAATTTGAAGTCCTATCAAATTTGGATAGGACTTCAAATCCCTCTTTGAATCTCCCCATCATCTCACGGTGCCTTGCTATGGAAATGGTAGGAGAATCTGGCTTTTGGGATGGGGCTAAGGACAGGTTGGTAAACTCTGGCCACAAGTGTATGATCCTCGTTGAGGACAGAGCTCAGCAGCCAGCCTGGAGGGAGGTCCACGGGTGGCCCTAGTGTCCCTGGGGAGATCCTGCCTTCTCTTACCTCTCCATTTCCATCCTCCCCTGTATTTGCTTTGATTTCCAGGTATTGTGTCAGTGCTCTCAGTATCAACTATGGGTAATGATAAAGAAATACAAATGTAACATCCCTGTCTATTCCTATCTACCCAAGATAATTTAAAATATATAATACATAAGTATCATACATACCTACTCATTTCTATCATCTATGTTTATAACAGAAATGTGAAAACCTAACCAAACATCTACAAAGCAAATAAGAAATTAAAAAATGATGTTGCTGAAAATAAGATATTTTTAAATGGGCAAACATTTAAATATTTTTACATTTTGATATCATATCATCATCATCATCTTACTTTTTCCCCTTTGGCCCCAACTATGCCTGTGATGCCTCGTAATCCTTGAGCTCCCTGGAAACATAAAAAAGAACGGTGAATTTTTTCATTTGAAGCACACACGTGTTTATCTCATCACAAAAGTTGCTCCAGAAGGATGTTAACATAACTAAAGGTAACAATAAGAAATAGTGACATTATGTAAACAAATGTTTCTAGTTTAGAAAGAAAAATCCAAGGAGAATTCTTCTGATGGTAAACACTCTTCTAAAACCCTGAAGACATACACAAACCTGGAGTTGGAGCAATTAACTGATGACAAAAAAGTAAACATCATTAGCTTAAGAGAAGTACAATCATGTATTTTGACTTACTTTTTAACTCAGGTACAGAATACACTGCCATCTCTCCCTCCTTCATAATTTGTAACTTGGTTACACATAAGATGGTTGTGATTTTAAACTTTGGAATGATTTTTCCCCACCAATGTATGCCATCAAAGGCCATTCGGTTTCCAGGCTAGTCCACAAAAGCTTAGGACCTGTAAATGGAGCTGAAGTCTCTACTAACCACTAGGAGTCACTACTCATTACACCATCTCTATGATAGAGGCATTCTGCATTCCCACCTGGGGCACAAGGAATCCATCTCACCCCATCTCAGGCATAGGAGTGGGTAAGCCTAAAAATAAGGATGTGAGTCTGATTTCCAGAATCTTCTTAAATACTGAAATGTCACCATTCTCCCTTCTCTGGCCCCACAGGAGCAGGGCTCCAGGAGTGGATCCTGTAAAGGTGGAACCTAGGCGCTCTCTTGGCAGGAGCAGCAAGCGGATGCTCCTTCAGGAAGGGGGAGTGGCCACTTCTGAGCAATTTGTTAATTGGCTTAAGATCAAGCAGCTCTAGGCCAGTCATTCTCTTGTGTTCTCCCTTGGAGAAAATGGGACAATTCTCTGGCCAACCCTGTCTGCATCTAGGTAAGTCACAAATTCTGTGTAGATCAGTTAGGAATGACCAGAATGTGTAAGATGATCCAGCTCAGGATAACCACTTGGGATATAAAATGAGAAATGGCCATTTCAGATTAAAACTGCTCTTTCTGAAGATAATTCTACAAAAAGAATTCCAAAAATATTTGAGCCAATACTAGTGACACGAGAATGCCATGTATTATCTCTTCAGGTGACTACTTTGAAGGACAGAGCTTATGTATAAATGTTCCCCAAAGCATTTTTTTAAATCTGTGCATTACTTTATAGATGCACATTTAAAAAGTGAACATTTGTGAAATTTATAGAAACATTTTGGCAAGCCTACTGCCAAACACCAGAAGGTCAGCAAGCACTAACGATAGCCCCCAATGGGCCACTTAAGCCATGCAGAACCCAACAGATATCCTTAATCCATGAAAACATTTTTAAATGTTGCTTACAAAATCTTGTTCTCAGGATTTGGAAGGATAGCTTTAAAAATAACTTTAAGTCCGCACTAAATTTTCATCAGATCAAAAAAAAAAAAAAAAAAGCATACGTCTCTTACACTATTGCTATCTCCTTCCTACAAAATAGAGTCCATCTCCTTATTTTCTCCTTTCAAAGGCTCAGGGAAGACAAGCTTCTGAAATAAACACCTCATATTCCTCCAGGTTTCCTTAAAGTTCTCATGTGGCTTAAAAACAGAGGCCATTCTTAGAAATGCTCAGACTAATATCCTTTAGCTGGAATTTCCTTAAACTCTGGGGTAAGTACTAATCTACATAGCTCCCTGAACTCTTTCATAAAAAGCCAGTTGTTTGGGGAAGAGCAGAGCAGGACAAGGAAGGGTGGCCTCATATTTGTCCTCCCTAACTCTTTAGTTCCCGAGAATAGGACCTGAGCGTGTCCTTTACGTAGTAAAGGCCTTGGCTAGCTGCAATGTTCAATGAATATTCAGAAATTATTATTTCCATAATTGTGAACTACTCATCTTGACAAGAAAAAAAGTGTGACAATTCTACTTTCGTATACAAAAGTAGTATAAATTTTGATGTAGCAGACACTTTAAATTGAAGTATGCCAATGCCCCAAATTACCTCATTGTGCATATAATTGCAGCAATCTGCCAAAGCACAAGGGACTAACTTTTTATTAAAAGACATGATTACAAGCAATTAAGAATGTTCTAATTATAATGATTACATGCTGGCATAAGGTACTTAAATCCAGTGGATGATGTACCTGCTGTATATTCAGGGTACATGAAATTTTCTATATCATGTGAAAGTACCATAGAATATTAAATATATATATCAACCTCTTGTGTTCAATATTTACTTTTAGCTAGTAAATGAATGTATGTAATTATAAGTAAATTTTTTCTGTTAAAATGGTGCTTGAATATACAATGGGGATCCTTTCCTATTTTGAAAAATTGGAAATCTCCCAATGCTGGCTTGGTGGGAAAATATGTTAATGTAATACTATTAATCCAAATGCTAAACAGGAAATATTCCAAAAGTCATGAAAGAGAATATTTGCATATCCTAGTTAAATATTTTTTAAAAATACTTTACTGGAGGTCCTTGAGCTCCAACTTCTCCTTGTTCCCCCTGGTCACCTTCTTCACCCTAATAAACAACAGAAAAGCACACCAAATGTTATTCCAGCAAATGAGCATAGATAGATGACTCAGCACATCCGAAATTCATTTGGCATCCCCTGAGTTATGTTACTATACTTTCTTAAATTAGGTTATATGAGTAATCCATATTAATTGTAGGACATTCAGAAAATACAGAGAAATATACGAATAAAGTCACCAAAGCCCACCGTTCAACTATAAATATCAGTAACATCTTAGGTGCTTCTCTATAAAGGGGTCATGGGGGAGGAAAGGACAGAGACAGAATTCCTTTAGCTTTATTTTTCATTTATGGTTACTCTTATTTTTCAGTTTTTCCTAAATGTTTACTCTTCCGGATGCACTTTAGAATTATTTGGAAAATCCTCACAAAAATACTACTTGTTTTATATTAGGACTGCACATTCATGTTCCCAGTGTGTGTGTGTGTGTGTGAGGGGGTGTTATTAGGAAAATATGATCATGCTATGCAAACTTTTCCAGCAACTACAGTATTATTTATTTGTGATTTTCACTTTTAACTTTTCTTATTATAATTTTTCTACCAAAACAATTTTGAAAAAGTATTTAAATCAGTCCTTCTTTTCTTGGCTCGTACATTTGATGTCACCCACAGAAAAGCGTTCTCCATACCCAAAATACATAAATATTCGTCTGTATTTTTCTTCTATAACTTCATAGTTTAATTTTTTACATAGAAATCTTTCATTGATTTTCATGTAAAATATAAAGTAGAAATCTATCATTTTTGGAGGTGGGTGGGGGGATGGGATAACTGGGGATGGGCATAAAGAAAGCCATGTGATGTGATGAGCACTGGGTATTACATGCAACTGATTAATTATTGAACTCTACATCTGAAATAAGTGATGTACTATATGTTGGCTAACTGAACTTAAGTTTAAAAAAAGAAATCACTTTCTTTTTTCCTGGCAATTGGCCACTTTCTATAATATCATTTATTGAATACTAGATTCTCTCCACATAGGCTGGAAAATTCTTCTTTAACATATAGTAAATTGTGAAATATACTTGTTTCTAGATTTCCTACTCTGCTCTTCTCATCTGTTGTATGAATTTGAAAATACCACATTTTAATTATTGAAATTTTATAATACATCTTAGTCTTTGATAGAGAGAATTCCTTTAGCTTTATTTTTCATTTATGGTTACTCTTATTTTTCAGTTTTTCCTAAATGTTTACTCTTCCGGATGCACTTTAGAATTATTTGGAAAATCCTCACAAAAATACTACTTGTTTTATATTAGGACTGCACTAAATTAAAAGATTAATATGGAGAGAATTAGATTCTTTACAATACTGAGTCTATCTTGGAACTCAGTGTATCTCCCTAGTGAATCAAATCTTTTTCTTTCCTTCAATAAAGCTTTGCTCTTTTCCTCATATTAGTCTTGAATATTTAAGTTTGTTCTAAGGTATATTGACTATTTGGTAGCTATTGCCAATGGAATCTTCTTCCATTTTGTTTTCTAACTAATTATTGTTTGACTTTTTGATATTAATTTTATAACCTCTGATATAGTTTAAAATATTAGTATATATAATTTAGTATATTTAAAATGTTAGAAAAGAAATACAACTGCTGTTTCTTACAGAAAGATTACTTGACTCTGAAAAAATGTTACTTTTCCCTCTGACAAGGTTTTTTTTTTACAGAAATATACTGCCCTACATTTCCTGTGGTAATGGATATCTTAAATTGTAAAATTAATCATGAGAAAAATTCATTTTTAATATTATGTGCATAATATTAGATAAAAATCTATTTCTGTTGATTACATATTTCAATTCATCCATGTTCTTTCTCTACAAACTATACCTTATAGAGATTGTCTCACACACACACACACACACACACACACAGAAATACAGAAAATTGAACAGCAATATTAATATAGAACCTTTGGGCATAACTGCAAAGAACTAGGTTATGCCTAAATCATTTATACTTGACTTTTGAATCAAGTATTGAGAGTATTACATAGTGGTTTCACTCTCATAATTTTACTCAGATTATATTCCATAAGAATATATGACTGACAGCGAGGAGAGGCAGTCCCAATGGGAAAGCCAGTGAATTAGCTATTTCAAGGAATGGATAATCAACACATGTGTGTAATTAACTGCTATATCTATGTCCCTGCCTAACTATCAAAACAACAATGATTGATATGTGCACAGTAAGTTTTCATTAGCAAGGTTTGGGGTATTTTCCCACAGATTCCAGGATAAATCTTGGAGTAATATAGTTGATTTAAATATTTTACCAGCAGATGAATAGCACACAACTAATCAATAATCACAACATAATGACAAATTTAGGAATAGAAATTTATTATCATTTTACTGAAAGACTTTTGACTATTCATTCCTATATCCATAAACAAAATTTAAAATCTTCATTAACTAATTTGTAGAATAAATTCAAGGCAGAATTGTGAATCCACTTTCAGTTTACAGTTCAGTGCATCTATTACACTTTTAAGGTTCATTCTTCAATGAACTATTGTCATCCTATCTTCCCATATAAATTTTCAAAGACACCACTGAAAGGTGTAAGTGACACAACATGTGAAATAAATTAAAGGAATTTTCAACAACGACCAATAAAATTTTGGCCAATTATCTCACACACCCAAACAATTTTCAGGTTCTTCACTGAAAATCAAAACAAATTTGAGAGTCTGGATAACTAACTTGTATAGGTATCAATAATATTAGTTTCTTGGGGAGAGGGGGAAAATACTCTAATTGACAGCTCCATCCCCAAATGGGGTTGTAAAAGTTCCCCCAAAGAAAAGGGGTCACTAAAAGAAGAAGGAAGAGAGCATGGCACCCAAAATAACAGAAGTCTACCATATCTGCTTGACTATATGCATTAACTCATGAATATCTTTTGGTATAATGTAATATCCTTACATACCTTTTTCTGTGGTTAGATAATATTCTATTATATGGATATGTCATACTTAATTTAGCCAGTCTCCTGTGGTGGGACATATTTTTTTCACTTCTGTGCCCCTGGCACTTAGAATAAACCCTGGCACACAGCAGGTACTTAATAAATATTTGTTGAATTTTTTTCAACTATGAATTTCAAAATTTAATGGGGGAATGAGCATGCAGAAAAATTTCTAAAGTACTCAACTTTTTTCTACTTTCTCCAATTTGACATTAAGAATCCAGCTGTTACATTCCAGATAGATAAAATGCCTTAATTACTCAGGGCCCAAGTAATTAAAGACTAGAAATAAATGTCCAAACTGTAATAGGGTCGAGAAAATTGGCTTACTTATTCTGATTATCTCAGGTTGTTCAACAGACTGATTTTAGCTAGAGTTCAAGGATATTAATGCCTGACGATATAATAAATTGCCTCTCCAGTTCTTAACTTCCAAAGAAAAAGACCAAGTTTCTGCCTCCGCCCAATAAAGGTATAGAAGCGCACAGTCAACAAAGTCTAGAAAATCCACATTAATAAGAACAGTTTGACTTTGTAAAATATCACAGAATTAACAGGGACAAAACTTCTGTTATGTAGGAAGTAAAATTCTTAGACAATTTACACCAGTGGATTTAAAAAAAAGCAAATAAGTCATCTTACTTCACATTTTTGCCTTGGTTTTTCTGCAAGGCACGCCAGCCCCAAGGCAAGTGGTGCTGTGGATTCCATGTTTCTATCCAGATAATAACATAAGTCTATCACTCACTTTCAAATTACTCAAAATCTAAATTCTATTGAAATGGAGTCAGAAACAGACAAATTATTTCAGAACTTAAGATGAGAAGCTATCAGCTCTCAACCTCCTGTTTGCTAGTGTCAGCAACACTTGTCATAAAATTTTACACATGTCATAAAATTTTGTTTAGTGCAGTGGAAAAACTAGCTGAATAATGTTTGACTATCAAAAGCATCAAGGAAAAAAAGCTGAGTGTGATTGATTTCAAAAGAAAAGCAAGGAGCAGCAACACAGGAAAGAATGAAATGTATGGTGTACTATTGTTTCTTGTAATTGAACAACATGAGAATATTATGCTTAGTCAGAATATCTATGCAGCTACTGAAAACCTGTCAATCATCATTTGAAAAGGAAGGATAAAATATCATGCTTTCTTATTCCTTAAAATTCCTTGTAATAAAAGTAATCACTACCTCCTAATCACAGTTTACCCATTATATACTCATTTTTCTTACCTTGTGACCTTGTCTTCCAGGTTCACCAATTTCTCCTTTAGCCCCTTTATGACCCTAAAAATGCATAATTAACAAGTAAATAAATTAACAAATTAAAAAATAATTCTATCGGGTTTGTCACAGAAAGTGGTCAGAAGGTTCATAAAGTGATCTTGCTTCCCTAAATCTGTGTCAGTGTGCTACCCAGAAAAAGGTTATGTCACAAAGAAAATGACTGCCTTCAATGACCTTAATACCGCCATGTGTATTACATGACTAGTGTATATGATAAATATTAGCTTTAGTTAATAGAAAAACACTGTTCTAGAATAACAAAGCTTCATTACCCAGTTCGGCAACATGATGTATTACCAGCTGATCCCTAGATCCCTCTGTCGCAAACTTCCTCTCACAGCTGAGTTAACAGCTTTAAGCCTTCTCCAGCATCAGGAATTTTTCCTCAAAGATGACAGTCCTGACCGAGCTCAACTGGCTATCCCCTGCTCTCTCCATGCTGCTCCAAAAACCCTTCCGCCTCCTCTATACCCACTTCCTTCTTGGAGGTGGAAAAAGAGCTGATATAAGAAAGGGAGCTCCCCAGATGCACGACTTCCACCTCTTCTTGTACACAATTACAAATGCAAAGGGAAAGCCATAAAGGGCAGTCCGTGAAAGCTGCATAGCATGAGAAGAAAATGCCTCTCTATTCTTGTCGGGCCACTAGTTCTAAGCATGTGTGTGCTTTGAGTGGTAACATGAGGCAAATGGGAAATGAACATTCCAAAATTAAGTCTATTAGAGCTTTCACCCTTGGAGACTTTCTTATTCTGACAGTGTAGGTCTTGGTGAAAAATAAGACACCAATCCAGGACCAGGGGCACCTGGGTGGTTCAGTCCTTAAGCATCTGCCTTCGGCTCAGGTCATGATCCTGGGGTCCTGGGATTGAGCCCCACATTGGGCTCCCTGCTCCGCGGGAAGCGTGCTTCTCCCTCTCCCACTCCCTCTGCCTATGTTCCTGCTCTCGCTGTCTCTCTGTCAAATAAATAAATAAATACAATCTTTAAAAAAAAAAATCCAGGACCAAATCTTCTGCAGTTGTGAGAACCCACTAAACCAATCTTAGAGAAAACCATAATTGGAAAACCAGTGCCCTGGGGCCTTTCAGATCATAGCAGAACTCCTCTGGTCTGGAATTTTCAAAATCACTTCAGACCCCATAGACTAGAGAGAAAGAGCCACTTAACCCCAACATTTGGTATTTTTTTATGGGAAATTTTAAAGCAATTATGATATACAGCGAGAGAAAAACATTTTGGGGATGTCTCTTTTCTTGCCTATTTTGCACTGTTTTCCCAATTTTTTAACTAAAATAGTTTCAAATACATTATGGGTGCAATTACTCCCCAGTCTTCCTGCATAGGAAGCAAACTTTGGAACCTTAATCTGGTGTTATAGCGTCTCTCGAGCCAGTACATTTTACTGGTATTTCCTCCCTGAACAAGAGAAGCACTGTGTAATCAAACATCCATGTCTCCGTGTACCTGCCAGGGGAACCAGCTGGAGTTTCTAGGACTGAAGAAGGACCACAGACTAGGCCAAAGAATAAGCAAACACAGACAGGCCTAATCCGTCAAAATGGGGTCTTGCACCAGAAAGGACAGTGTTTACAGGAAAGGATCTATTTTTTCTCTATGGATAATACTCTTGAATATAAAATACTGAAATTATTCTCTCACCCTCATGCCTGGTAAGCCTGGATATCCTGAGCGACCTGGTGGACAGGAATTGGGACACTGCCAAAGAGAGAGAGGTAGAGAGAGCATAAATTAGAGCCCCCCCTTTATGACAAAATGGTACTGTTTTAGGGATTGCAGCTTCAGAATCCCAGTATAGTTATATTCATTAAATAAGTCTGAATATCCCTTTTTTTTCAATATTTCATTTTTAAACTCAGAAATATTCCTAGCTTACAGAAAAGCACAGAGAATAGAACAAGCATCCCCCACATGTTCACCATCCAGATTTAATAAATGCTAATATTTTGCCATATTTATTTCAGATTTATTAAAGAAATAAAATGTTTCCAGACCTAGTATACCAAATGCTTCCAACATAGTGTACCACAACCTGATCCTTTCCCTCTCCCACTTCCACCAGAATAGCTCTATCCTGAGGTCCACAAAACCCTTGTCAAATTGGCCAAAATTGCATTTAGTACAGTTTCCCAACAGCATTTGAATATTAGTCTATAAGTAAAATAAGTCTCAGAGGGAGTTGACTTCTAGCTTCTGAAATTGGGGTGCTCTGGTGAAAACGATGCCTTAGTCATGAAGTAAAAAGACTAGGGAAAAGCAAAAACAGGGGTGCCTGGGTGGCTCAGTCATTAAGCGTCTGCCTTTGGCTCGGGTAGTGATCCCAGGGTCCTGGGATGGAGCCCTGCATTGGGCTCTCTGTTCAGTGGGGAGCCTGCTTCTCCCTCTGCCTGATGCTTCCCCTGCTTGTGCTCTCTCTCAATCTCTCTCTGTCAAATAAATATATAAAATCTTAAAAAAAAATTTCCATAATGAAAACCACTTATACAAACCATCAGCCCACTAGCGCAATGGATTGCTCTGCTATCCATGTAAAGTAAAACACAGAAATACGACATATTCCAGCAAGATAATTTTAAAGAGAACTCATCTGAAGATTACATTGTCTTTGACTTAAACTGTGTTTCGTTCAAAGGTAAACATCTTACCAATGGATCTCCTTCATGAAAGCCAATTGTTGCCTAAAGTAAAGAAAATATTAAAGTTAAGAATATAGTTAAATACCCTATTCAAACCTACTTATAATAGAAAGTCCATTGGACAAAAATATAATAAAAATATTTGTTCAATAGGATATAAGGAACAAATAGCAACATATAATATGCTAATATTCTTAAACTTTGACTCATGGGCATATTCCTTTTGAAGACCCCTCTTTCAGGGAGCTGAAAGGAACTGAAATGAGAGACAGAATAGATAATACGGGGAATTCTGGATCATACATCTAAAATATGAATTATCAGGGTACCCTGTCAGTTGAGCATCTGACTCTTAATTTCAACTCAGGTTGGGATCTCAGAATCATGAGATGAGCCCCGCTTTGGGCTCCACTCAGTGGGTAGTCTGCTTGAGGATTTCTCTCCCTCTCCCTCTGCCCCTCCCCCGACTCATGTGCTTTCTCTCTCTTTCTCTCTGTCTCAAATAAATAAATACATCTTTTAAAAAACTGAAAAGAAATAAAATATGGATTATTTCCTACTTAAACTCCTATTTTTTAAATTGCTTACTGTGTAAATCCTTTGTAAACATTAGTTCATTTGAAAATGTCCTTTTCATACAGCCAAGTTTTAAGCATTTGAGAAATCACAAATGTCAAAGGACTTCAAATATATGAGTAAGCCATTCCCTGAGAAAACCACCTTTTAAATTATTGTTATTCCTCTATTTTTCTGGCCTAAAAAGACCCATGCTCTGAATGGGTGAAAAAATCGATAGCCATTTTGGAATTTTAGAATGATGACTTGATTAACAAGTACTTCCATTTTTGGTTCTTAGGTTTCTTGAATCCTAACTCTCAGATACAAGAAAATTCAAGCTGCAAATAACTTACACTGGGTCCTGGGGGGCCAGGGGGGCCAGGTGGTCCTCTTCTCCCAGGGTCACCCTAAGTTATTTGAAAATCGTGACACAGTGGTTATACACATGTCAAAACACAGTGCATAAAACTGGTGAGGCATGAGAGAATATTACTAGAAACCCCCACAGAGCTCAGCCATGCATAGACCTGCCACGAAAATCGATGGGTGGCCCATAATCCAATTAGCTCCACAAAACCAGAAGAATAAAGGAGCTCCGGTCTCACCAAAGTAATAAAACAAGGCAGGAGATTTGGGGGGAAAAAACAAAGCCAGTTCTTCTCTATAGAAGGATCACTTTATTCTGAAAACAAACTGGAAACACTACATATTTTTCTAGTTGATTTAAGAGAAACTGGAACAGCCAGTGCTGCTACTGCCACCCAGATAATGGTAGCAAAAGAAGGCTTGCACCTGGCCTGAAGCTTTGGAAAGGAAGGTTAATCTCTGCAATGCCGACTCTCCCTCGTACTGTTTACCCACAAGCTATTACTTGGCCTGTCACCATACTCTTTTGCAAATGGGACTGAAGATCAAAGATGGCTAAATTCAAATGAAAATGGATTTCAGTTTGTCTTAACATCCAGAGTTTACTCCTTGCATACCTTTTCCTTCTTAATATTCTACCATAAGAAGTCAAAATCATCTTACAATTAATTTAACCTTACAACCATTTCATATTTATTCATCCGTTCAGTGAATAATTTTATCATATCGTAAGACATATAGAGAAGCAAGAATAAGTACTTAACACATGGCTCCTATTCTCAACGCGTTTACAATCATCTACCCTTCACATAATGTCACTACTTCTCAACCTCCTTGAAATATTTATTGGATAGTAACATCAAGAACTTACTACCAGCAATTTCTCCTATGGAGTTCAGCTCTTTATTGCCTAATGTTAAGTTCTGTTGGTTCAATTATAATTTAATGATCCTAACATAAATATACTTGGCAATGATTTTTGGCTATTCGCTTTTCATTTCATGCAGTTAGCCTAATACAAAAGACACTGGACCTTAATTCTGGCTGAGAGTCTATTAGATGGAGGTGACACCCTTTTGATTGACCAGTAATTCTGGAAGTTGGGAAGAAAAGTTTAGCTGATAACTTTGGGAAAAAAATTAAAATCACTCTACAAAAATGAGGTAGCATTATTATCCCTGGTTCCCATCAATATTATGAACTGGAATGAAATTCATCTGCCATTTTTTGGATTTGCAGGGGAAAGCATACAGTTAGGGCAATTTGCCTTCCTGAGTAATGTTTTCCACTAAATCAGCAAATGTCTATCAAAATGCACTGCAGTACTCACAACTGGTCCAACACGGCCAAGCTCTCCAGGGAGTCCTGTTGCCCCAGGAGGACCCTGTATGTATATATGCAATGGAATATTACTCAGCCATAAAAAAGAATGAGATCTTGCCATTTGCAACAATACAGATGGACCTAGAGGGTATGCTGAGTGAAATAAGAGAAAAACAAACACCATACGATTTGACTTATTTGTGGAATCTAAAACACCAAACAAGGAAGCAAGCAAACAAACAACAACAAAAAAAACAAAACTCTTAAATACAGAGAACAAACTGGTGGTTATCAGAGGGGAGGTGGGTGGGGGTAAAAGGTACAAACTTCCAGTGATAAAACAAATAAGTCACGGAGACGAAAAGTATAGCATAGAGAACATAGTCAATAGGATGGTAATAACACTGTTCAGTGACAAATGATGACCACATTTATTGTGGTGAGTACTGAGTAATGTACAGAATTGTTGAATCACTATATTAGACACCTGAAATTAACATAACACTGTATGTTAATTATACTTCAATTTTTTAAAAAACATAATTTTAAATAAATAAAGGGACATGGTGACTTATGGGTGGTTTTATAATCTATCATAAATCATATCAAATATGATAAGTAATTGATTCAGGATTACGTGTCTGTGCTAGCTTTGGTTTCCAATGACACAATAACTCATTTGACCAAATTTTAATTACTTAAAATGGAACAGAAATTTCTAAAATGAATAAATTTTTTGTTTAGCCACCTAAGGTCATGTATGTAGGACACTATAAATACCCTGGGTAGTGTCCGTTGGCAAGTAAGCTTGGGAGCTGAGAAATAGGCCACTGTTATAGACTTAGGTAGAAATAAACCAAGAGATGATACTTACAGGGGGTCCAGGAATACCGCGGCCCTAAAAGGTTAAAACAAAAATTGTTATGGTATGTGATTTAAACTTAGTATAAATACAGACAGACATAACTCAGTTCAAAAAAAAAGTATAAAATTTGTCACTAAATAAATATATGATGCTCATTCTAAAGAAAGGACTGGATAAAGAAAAGCAAACATGGCTCTACTTCTAAAGGAAGAAGCTTGTTTCAGCACCTCAAATATAGCTTGGATATCTAAGCTAACCCATAATACTTTTTCCAAACTTGTTTTTAAGAAAATCAAAGAAGTCATTCATGCTTACCGTCAGAACTTAGCATCACTCACAAAGAAGCACAACACAACCTGACGGTTTAAAGATTTTTTTGCTGTGTTTTATAAGAAATCTACATTAAAAGCAATACAGTGTACTGCTTTATAATTTATAATGTGTGATGTTTGGAAATCCTCCCAAACAAACATTTAGCACAGAAAGGCAAGGGGGGGAAAGACCAGAAGCTACCCTCTTTTGACAGGTAGGACTACGTTTCCAGACACCAAATCCAGTAGATGAAAATAAAATGGTGTCACTCCAGAAATAACTTACTATGGGATCCTAATTTAATATCCTGAATTTGATCTTAAAGCTAATTATTTTGTCTCCCTCTCCTTTATCCTTTATATCTCCTTAGCAACACCAAACTGCATATAACCAAGGATTGACACCACATCTTATTTATCCTCCTAGCTTCAATTCCTAACACAGGGCCTAATATACATGAAACCCTAACTATATGCTTGTTGAACTTCATATAACTGAACATCAGCTGCCTAGAATCCCTTTTTCTCTATCTTTGCTTTCCAGGTTCAATATGCCCCTCCCCCCACCCCCGTCAATTGGGAACCCTCATTACTCCTTTCCCTGATACATTGGCTTGAATAACTTTTATTTACAGCTATCTCTGATACCATATTCATGTTAGCTTTCATTCCAGACTTCATTTTCTAAAATATCCGTATATGGGCGCCTGGGTGGCTCAGTTGGTTAAGCAACTGCCTTCAGCTCAGGTCATGATCCCAGGCTCCTGGGATCAAGTCCCGCATCGGGCTCCCTGCTCCTTGGGAGCCTGCTTCTCCCTCTGACCCTACCCCCTCTCATGCTCTCTCTATCTCATTCTCTCTCGCAAATAAATAAATAAAATCTTTAAAAAGAAAAAAAATAAAAAATAAAAATAAAATATCCGTATATGAAGCATTTAGTGGAATCAACATATACCCTGTGATAATGATATTATTATTTCTAATTATTTAGGCAGCCAAAACAAGCACGAATTTCACATGAGCAATATGTTTTAATAATAAGTGGGGCTTTTTCAAGGCATTTCAAGGCATTTGAAAAATCACTCCTATTTGATCATTTTAATATGTAAATCAATTTGGGGAATTAGTATTATGCTTGAAAATACCAAAGTAATCAATGTTATTTCATTACCATAGCTCTAGATGTTTGACAAATTTCAAATTTCACTCAGTTTTTTTAAAAAGGCATCTCTATAAGAGGTTGAGCTCTGAGTGGAAAACTATGGGAGAAAGGCCAGCAAGCTATTCATTTCTGAAAATAGGCTTATAATGGAAAAGTTGACAGACAGTGAAATATGGCCATGAAAACAGTGCAAATAGAAAACAAAGACGAAAAATACAGATTAATGACAAGAACAAAAGAGGAATAAAGAGCAAAATGGAAAGTAAAACAGCCTGAGAACCTAGTAGCCCCCTTAAAATAGAAATAACACACAAATCAGCCAGATTGGGCAATGCAGGAAAGGACTAACCGGGGAATCAGGCTGGTAATTATATCTGACGGTTGACATTCCATTAGAGATAAAACCAGTTGTGAAGTGGTGTGATATTATGATCTAAACATCGAATATTTAGATTTGCTGTTATTATGCAAGAAATGTTTTCTATCAAGGGGAGTGACGGCGGAGTTGTCTATTGGGAGACATATATATTTTATACTGTGCATTCAAATTTCTCTAAATGTTCAATATTCGTACCCAGAATGCTTACCATAGCAGATAAGTCATGAACTCCTTTGTGATGCATATTATGTCAAAAGCTGCATTTAAACACTTCATAATAACAGGAAAAATGGGAGATTTTCAATTCTGTCACTTTACAATTACTTACTGGAAATCCACGAGATCCAGGAACACCAGGTTCTCCCTAAAAATAAAAACAGCTTCATTGTGCTTAGCTTTTTGTGGCATGAATATGTAAATATGTAAATTGCATAAATTTTGAAATCATTAAAACACTCCATCTTGATGTTTTTAATTTAATTTAATTCAACTAAAACACGATTTTAGTTGAACAAGTGTATTTCCTCTGTTTCATAACTAATTTTTCAGTTGATTTGCAAACACTATAATGAAATTATACTTCAGCATCTAATACCAGCAATTAATAGTAGGTGGCTAACTTACTTTGTGCCCTCTTGGTCCAACAGAACCAGGGGATCCATCAGGTCCTGTTAATCCCTAACAAAGCAAGATGATGTTAGAAATATTATAGCATCCTTAGGCAAAGCCCTAAGTGGATAATTGCATTTTATTTATCAATTATGTACGGAATGGTTATCTTTGTACGATGTAAATATTTACAAAGAAATACCTTCCTACATTCTGATCAACTGCCTGTTACTTTCTGTTGATAAATTTTATCATATTCCTAACTTCCTGCTAACAGGGTCCAATAATTTTAGTATTTTTTGTCTCTGCTTTGGAAAAATACATATAACAATTATAGCATTCTAATAGCCACATCTAATGGGACAACAGATCTGGCTTTGTCAATTACCCACGTTTATGCACCTCCTTTACTTCATTTATAAAATAAAAATACTATATGTCTCTATATCTCTCAAATAGTGTTTTGAGAGTTAATAAAATATTTCTTCAATAGGAATTAAAAATACTCAATCTCATTATTGCTCTATAGCCATCTAAAGCCCTCTGGCCATCTTCCAGCAATAACAATTGCTTACTGAAGAAACTTAACTTTTAAAATAAAATGTTTGAGAGCATGCATGTTTCTACACTATCTGCCTTAGTAAAAATAACTATAATTAAGTATATATTTTCATGTGTGTCACCTAGTATGTAGAATTTAAGCCAATTACTATAAAACACGTTTTCTATATATTTAATACTAAATATATTATTTAAAGCATATCCTCCAAACATATTCATTTTCCCTACCAGTACTTTTTTTTACCATCAACCTCAATATAAAATAGATTTTAAAGCATTAATAACACTACATTATACACCTGAATTTCCATATTTGGTGAAGATGCATTTTTATTTTTTTAATTTTTTCTTTACTCTTTGGCACTTTTAGATATCATTTTTAACGCAATATTGAAATTATACCTTGTCAAAGATAAATATGTGTATCTCTATGTGTATGTACATATACATATGTGCATGCATATATAAACATCTTACAAAACTATTATCAAGATTTTGAAAAAGACTCAAATGGTATTAATCGAGGGAGGGATTCCTTGCAAGTATGAAAGCTCTACTTAAAAACGCATCACTAAAATCCATATTTAATCTGTCACAATCTACATATCACTAAAATGCGGTCATATAATTTATACAGAAAACTAGTTCACTGGCCACCATTTTTACATTACTCTACATCAATCCATTTCCCTTATAACTTCAAAGAGTGAATCAAAGGAAGTAGAAAAAAATAAGTTGAAAATGTTAATTACTGGAAATTTACCAAAGAAAATTATTAAACACACATAAATTTCAACTTTTCACAGACTGTCCTTGATTTTTAATCACCCTACTCTAAATACAACACTGTAATTTGGGAACAAGCCCCAGCATCTTAGGTGCTGAGCACTGGTAGTAATGAAACGTTGGCTTTTGATTTTGGTAAACAAACCATACATCCAGAGCATTCTCTACAGGCACATATGGCACACAGATTGTACAAACCTGAGAACACATCTGACTAATGGAACCCCTAACTCCCACTTCATGTATACACCCTCCAAAATCAATCCTGGCCAATTTCCACACATGCAACCAACTAACAATCTTCAATCTGTCACTGAAGTAACTGACGAGATTGGTGAGCAATAGCTACAATATATGGTAGAATTTCAGCTGCATAATAATAAAGCAGAACCAAGTAAATGGTTGGACAACAAGGAGGTTGCTTCCAGGTCACTTCTTATTTAAAGTACCTTCTATAATACATAATAAATTATGTCTATCACTGGGAAGTTCTTTAAATTAAATTGCTAATACAGGGGCACCGGGTGGCTCAGTCAGTTAAGCGTCTGCCTTCAGCTCAGGTCATGATCCCGCGGTCCTGGGATGGAGTCCCACATCAGGCTCCCTGCTCAGCTGGGAGTCTGCTTCCCTCTTCCCTTCTCCCTCTGTGTGTGTGCTCTCTCTCTCTCTCTAGTTCTCATTCTCTCTCAAGTAAATAAATAAAATATTTTTTAAAAAATAAAAAAATAATTGCTAATACATTTTGGTGTCAGACGTTACAGTGAACTCTGTTATGAAATAGCTATGTAGAAAACCGTAAGCTCCATAAGGACAAAAACTGCATGTCCATTATAATCCAGGCACATCGCCCCTGGCATCCAACACATACTCAATACATGAATACTGAATATTTAATTTAAGTTAGTCTATTTGATGGAAGGATATGACACTTATCCCTCTACATCATCTTTATTTGGGGTTCTAATCCCAACTTTGCCACTTATTAGCTGTGCAACCATGACAAGCTGCTTAACTGTACAGTGCCTCAGCTTCTTAATCTATAAAATAGGTATAATATTAATATCTACTGATATGGTAATTTTGAAAATTAAGTGCGATATTACACACAAAATGCTTACAACAGTGCCTGATAGAGTGGGCCCTGAATAAATGTTAGCTATTCTTATTATCATCATTATTATATTGGTCAGCCCTGCTATAGATGTTGTGAAGAGTTCACCTGAAGTATAAGACATGTTTCCTGCCCTCTGGGAGCTTAAAACCTCATACAGAAGGGGTTCTGCAAACAAACAAATGAACAAACAAATATCTAGATACTAACCATGGGTACTGTATTTTATGGCTCCCTCAGATTTCTTTGATGTCTGACTATTTCCACTTACACTGACCTTTCGGAATAACTTCTTAATAACTCACTATTCTAATCATATAAGCATCTGCCAGGGATAGTAGTTGTATACATCCTGAGGATGTTCTAACCTCTTTCCTGAAACAAGTGGCATGGTTTAACTGTAATGCTTATATTTAATTCTACTTCTTCTTCTGCCTACCTTAGATGGATGTTATAAGAATGAATAAAATACTGTTTTCAGAGCTCACTGAGCATGTCACAGCAAATACTGCCAATAAGAATATCTCTATTGATTATTGATAATAACACAGTTGTCCTTTGCATGCAAGGTTATAACCAAGCTCTGACTTCTCTAATTTTACATATAAACATATACATATATATATATATATATAATCTCCCACATTTATATTTACACACACAAATTCCATTTTGCAAGGATTCTTATCTGTCAAAGAATTGACAGAGAAAAATATTACCAGTGGCAGAAAGAATTGCTTTCATATGAATGTTTATGAAGATAAAGTTCTGTATGAGGATGATACTGAAGCTGTGTTCTGAACTTTCATGCTGCTGCTTGGCAGAAAACACCAGCCCTCAATAGTAATTTCCTTCCAACATTCCAACTACTCAGCCCGTGAGACTCAAGGCATAATTCTACAAGCATAGCTGCCATGAATCTTTCACATTTTCTGTCAAAAAACCCACTTCACTTAGGATAATTACCCTTTAAATCATGTTCCTTCCATATTCTTCCAAACATCATCTGATTAACCATTTGTTCACATTACCAAAAAGTATAGCCTTGCAATGAACCAAAGAGCAGAAGACAAAGAGGTTGGAGGTTTAAGGTCCCACCACTACACTGAGGCTCACCTAACAAGAAAAGATCACTGGAGCTCTCCTGCTTACTTAGCTTCCTTATGGCCAGGGACAAACAAACAGCAAACTGATCCAGTTACTGATTTTTCATTATTCATTATTCTCAATGCCTAGTCTCAATGTGAGGTAAAAGATTTGTTTACGAGCCAAAGAATACAGTAAGTCAGAATCTTGTAAGCCCCATGTGGCTTCATGTCAATATCTGGTGGAACCATACCAATATTTACAAATAATTAGAAAATATCAATTATAAATTATTCTTATGATCCATTGAATTACCCATGTCATTTTTCTTGGCTGGGAATTCGGATAACTAAAAATTCACTATCACTCTTTTTCTCTCTATTTTCTCTGATTCCATCTATTTAAGATACTCATTTGTAGCCACATAAGGCAAAACTATCTGGAGAGAAAGCGAGTCTAAAAATGAAGAAATCTAGTTTCTTTCACTATCTTAGCCACTTAATAACTCTGGGTCCCTGAGGAAACTACTTGTCCTCAAAATTATTCAGTATTCTTATCTCTGGAGAATAATATTAGCCAAACTTTCCTTCCAGGTTATGTAAAGTTAAAGTGACTGCACTTGAGGAAAAAAGTTCTACACAAATGCATATTAGTATAGTTAACTTTTTGCTTAAGTATAGTTAACTCCTGTTCTAGGAAATGCCTGAAAAGCTGGTATATACATGGATGTCTTACCACGATACTGCAACTATAGACCAGGACAAAAACTCCTTTCATTGTTAACTATATTGTACCTCAAAGATTTTTTAAGCACTTTCATTTGTTTATCCAAAATTTCTGTTTAAATAGGGGAATTACTTTATAAAGCAAACCAGGCATCGTCTTTATGACCTTACAGTCAAAGGTAAAGAAGAATTTGTAGCATGTTGAGCATGCTACACAAGCACCATAAAACTGATGCACAGATAACTCTAGCCCTCTGTATGAAAGTATTTCAACTCAATACCAAGGGAAGACTCCAGGTGATTAGTTTATGCTTCAACCACCACAAAAATTAATAATAATAATAATAATGTAATCATAAATTTTCTTTTCAAACAAAAGGCAGATCCAAGTTTCATAGAAATGCAGAAATAAATCCAACCCATATTGGGCTACTGTTTTATAGAGTAGCCTTGGATTTATCAGACCTTTTTATTATGATGTGACAGTTTCAAGTAATTCAATGTTTCAAAAAGAACTTGAAAACCAACAAGTTATATAATTTCAGTTCGTATTATACAAATATTAGTTTGATATTCAGTTTGTAATATCCAAATATTAGTTCTTGGGGAATTCTTGCACACTCACTTTACATCACAGAGAAAGTTCAAACTTGGGGCTCTGAACTGTAAAACAAAATCTTTCCTAAAGTACTAAATAGCATAGACAAATACCTTCATAATGGTAATCTTTGTAAAGAAAGCCCATCTTAATAAACACTAAAATCTAGCGGTTTTTTTCTTCAATATATAAAAACTATAGTCAAAAATTCTTGGGAATTATAATCATAGGTTTTCAGGTGCTTTCTTTGATTTAGAAAAGTCTTTAGGTTTTGGAAAACACACAAAGTGGTAACTTGAAGGATAACTCGATGAATGCACCACTGCATATTTTCTGAGAACAGGTAACTTCATTTTACTTCACTTTGTATCCCAGCTTTAAAGTCAAGGACTGGCCTGTAGTAGGACTTCAGTACGCATTAGTCCAGTACATGGAGACAGGAGAAGCAGAAGTCATTATGCTCTGAGGAAATATTATTTACTGTCAGGTTTATCCTACAATTCAGCATGAGCTTTCTTCAATCGAGTGGAGGGAGAGGTGTAAAGGAGGATAAATTGGAGAAAGGATGATGATTCCCAATTTTGAAGCAACCCTACTCAGCTTATTTCTGTCCGTGATGCCAGTCAAGAAAACATGGAAAGAGGAAAATTAGTTTCGAATTTCCTATTCTTTGTGCGTTGACCATTTCCCTGCCCCTGCCCCCCCCCCAACACACACACACGCACATTCCCACTCACTTCGGGCCCTCCCCTCAAAGGTATCTTTCTTATTTCTCTTCTTCAGGATTTAGGAGTACTCTGCCCCTTCCCCTGCCTGCAGGTCCTTTACTAAATTAATCTAGCAAGTGCCTGTTAAAGGGCAGGACCAGAGGCTACTTGCTGCGAAGCCCCAGCAGAGCCCCACCAGCGCCGAGTAAGGTTCCTCTTCCTCCAGTTCCCCCTGTGCCGGAAGTGGGGCTGAGCGTTCAGGCGGTGAGCAAGGAGCGCAGGGTTAGGGGTAGGCACCGGGAAGGCCTGGGGGTTTTCTGAGAGCAGGGAACGCCCGCGCTGTGTGCTCTCCCCAGGGGGCCGCGAGCTATCTCCGCCCTCGCAGGACCCTTTGCAGAAACTGCCGCCTCCACGCCGCGCGGGGAGTACAAGGCCCAGTTCAGGGCCAGAGTCCTGTTTCAGCGTGGATCCCCGCAGCCTGCACCCATCCAGCAGACCGCCACGTCTCTCCCTCCCTCCTCCGCACCCCCAGCCGACCCCCCCCCCACTCCCCGTGCGCGCGCCCGCGCCTACTCACGTCGGCGCCCGGCGTGCCCGGCTTGCCCCGAGCTCCTGGCTTGCCCGGTTCTCCAGCGGGACCCTGAGCAAGGAGGGGGAGAGGTCGGGAGAGAGAACGATGCAAAGTTGAGATTCTTGGAAGTCACGTGGCTGCAAACCCCCTCTAAAGGGAAGAAATGAAGAGCGAATGCGCTGATCAACTTACCGGGGGGCCTGGGGGACCCTTTGGACCTCGGTCACCCTGCAGGGGTAGTAGAAAAAGCAAGAGCAGTCCGTGAGTGGGAGGCGCTGAGGACCCCGCTGGGAGACTCCCACGCGTGTTCACCACACAGCTCGGGGACGGGGACAAGGTAAAGCTAAATGGTGGAGATCCTTGACCAGCGGGGACAACTGAACGTGTCTACCTCATCCCTCCGAAAATCCCCAGGCTTCTACAGAGGCTCCAACCCAGTTCTCACCCATGCCCTAGCCCGCCTTTGGATGGCGGGCATCTGGCCCCGTCAAAAACCCATCCCGCTGGAGAAAGGGTAGGAAACGGTGGGACTGGAGGACCAGAGGACTGGAGATAGAAACTTACGTCGATGCCATCGATGCCTGGAACTCCAGGGGGACCCGGGGGCCCGGGGGGACCCTGCTCGCCCGGGGGACCTCTCTGACAAAAATAGCACACACGGATTAATGGAGCACGTTGGGCAACAACAAGAAACTGGCGCGATGTCCTGAGGCCCCCACCTCCACCGGTAAGAACACTTCCCTTTGGGGGACGGAGTCTTGAAATCCAGTAAAACTCCAGTATAACACTCCCGAGCGACCCCAGGTTTCTTTGGTTCCGCCATATTCTGAATGAGGCTTAATAGTGTGGTTAGAGCAGAATCTAGGCCCCACGGTGGGCACTGGGGTCACACGGCCTCGCCCCTAGAGAGACCATTAAACCAAAAGGGGTCTTTGAAGAAGCGAGAGCCTGACGGCTCTTTTTTTTTTTTTTTTTTTTAAGGGACTCAGTAATGAAAATGGTAGTCATTCACTCCTTGGATTTGATGAGTAATTGAGAGTCAGTGTTTTGGCTGAAAAGGAACTACTCAGACTGGAGGCGCTCCTACCTCAGATCGAGTACAGGATCGTTTTGTAAATCTTTCTACGTGCAGTAGAAATCAGGGAGAAATACGGAAGGAAAACTGGGGAGGATTGGGGCAAAAGAGCCTTGAAACCCAGGGAGGACCTGGCTTCATTTCGGATTTACCTGCATTGACATTCTCTTGCATAAGGTCTTTGCACCTCGCTTTAAAACTACACCAAATTTCAGACTGACCCTAGGGTATTACCGCTTTTATCGCTTGCAAACAGCCAAGCTTTGATGGTGCCAGAGGGAATACTGGCGTCTCAAAATGTGTGAGCATGTTGCTTAGGGTATGTGGAATTTTTTTTTTTCTCTCTTCTAATTTAAAAGAAGAAAAAGAAAGGGGTAAAAAGATTCTTTCATCAAGGAAACTTTGTTTTTCTAAACTCCAATGACCAGACAGGTTACAATGGGGTCTTTGTAAGTGAAACCTCAAACCGCATCTGGGCTCACCCGCCCCCGCCGGGTCCTCTCCCGCGCGGGAGGGAGTAGACGCCGGAGCCTTCGGGAAACTGCTGAAATTTTGACTGATGCCAGCCAAGGCCGCCGGGTTCCAATCCCAGAGCGGCGGGCACCACTAGCAAGGCTCGCGATTTAATGCTGCTACCGCGGGCTAGTGGAGCTTAGCGGAGGGAGGGAGCTTAGCGCCGCTAGGCTGAATTCCCGCCTTCTGCAAAAGGGCCTGCTCTTGAATGCAACCAGGAGGGGCGGGGTGGGGGAAGTTAAGAAGCAACCCGGTTAACCGCCCAAGTTTAGTGACCGGTCCCCAGTCACTAATAGCCTTCAGAGCCTCTGCCTGCAGTGTTGGGGCCCAGGTGGGGGAGGAGACGCCTTTCCCCGCCTAAGGGTCATCTAGGGTCCCCGACTCCGACGGTACTCGCTGCAGGTGCTCAAGGCTGGAGGAAGAACGCGGCTGCACAGCCCAGGGAAAGCTCTGCGCCTTCCCCACAGCTCCCGCGACGGCCGTTCCTCCACTTTTCCCTGCGTGCCCTTGAAAAATGCAAGCACTTCTCGCCCTCCGCTTACCTGGTCGGTGGTCTCGCTGGGCTGGAGAAGAAAAGACGGGGAGAAAGTGAGAAGGCTCTCCCCACCCCCCACCCTCGCGCACAACTTACTTGAGCCACGCACAAGCAGAGCCCAGACAGCAGCAGTCGCAGCCCTAGGGCCCCTCGATCCGGCGCGGTCCAGGCCATGCCCGCCACCCTCTGCTAATCCCCTGGACAGACTCTGCCTCCGGCCGCCCCGCTGGGCTTCCCGGACCCGTCACACGCCTAAAGTGGTACTTCTCCCCCGCAAAAAGCGCCCCCGGGAGTAGTTCTTTACAAAGGTGCCCAGCCAGGGAGGCGTACGTTTCTCCTGTTTATGAATGGCCCTGAGAGGGTCCTGGGGATTGGAGGAGAGCTTGCGGGCTGGGGAACGGATAGAATGACAACAGTCCCCCTTAACCCTTTCCCCGCCGCCACACAGGCAAGGCCTGAAGGTGCACCTCTGCCTCTGCCCATCTGCCCAAGTGTAGTCTCTCGCTGTCCACTGTGGGCGACGAATGGACTGCCAGTGTCCTTGGAGAGATGTTTGGGGGAGGAGTGAGGGTCATAAGCCACCGAAGGTAGAACCAGACACCCTGAGGTGGTTTCTCCTTGCCAGGCTGTGGGTGGGACCTGTGCTTCCTTAATATCTATCTGGTCCCTACAGTACAGCCTGAACTCTTTAGAAAAAAGAGTGAGGAGGTGGGGAGTTGAAGGAGGTGGTGGGAGGTAGGCTAGGTGGAAGTGTAGGTGGTCAAGGGACTCACAGTTATTCGGACTGGCAGCTCATGGCAAGTTTCTCTACTGGGGCGTAGTGGGTCACAATGGATCACCATCCACTGAAGTTCAAACTGGAGAAAGACAGCAGACAGTCAATTCAGATTCCGGAGGACAGAAGCAGGTCATTTAAGAGAGAGATAAGTTTGTAAGTGTGGTCCGATTGCTAAGTGACTGGAGACCAATTTGAACTGGTTGACCTCAGTGGACCAGTACTCTTGTGCCTTGAATACAGATTTTCCAATGGAAATGGGCTGGAAGCCCTTCCCAAGTTTCTCTGATGACTGAATGTAGATGTCTGTAGCTCTGCAGTATTCCAGCGTAGCCCTTGGCAGGAACAGACCACTGGCACTGACTTTCCATTTCTGTCCTTCCACATCCTTAAGATGCAGATTCTATTCAAATGAGGCCCTGTGCGAACAAGGAACCGGCCAGGTCACAAGCCAGTGTGAGGGTCTAGATTGGAGCCCAGGCCTACTGAACTTCACAGAGAACACATGCACTAAGAGTTTACATGGGGGAAGACTAGAGACAGAGACAGCCAAAGAGGTGGCACCTAGGAGGAAAAGGAGAGGAAAGAAAATCCAGTCCTAGAAGAAATTTGCGTGCTAGAGAAGACATTCTCCATGGAGTAGTCACAGCTTAAAATGGAAATAGGAAGGACTGGAAATGGAGAGAATGAGAGGGAAATCTAGAACTCAGGGAAAAAACAGGAGAATAGAAAGCATTTAAATTTAGTGTTATCTCATTCATTGGTTGAAGAGATATAAAATTTTCAGACACTTGAAATCCAAATGTGCCCTGACAAGTTCTTACATTTTAGCAGGTGTTAAGAGAGAAAGAAGGGAAAAGGAGAGGAACAATACAATGGAAGAGTGACCAGGTCTGAAGCTGAAGGCCTCTGGTGACAAGGTGAGGGGGGAAAAAAAAAAAAAAAAAGGTATACACCACCCAGCACCTCCATTCTGGCCCATCTTCTTAAATTGAGGAAATTCCTTGTTAGTCATCTCAAATCAGATCTGTATTTCTTGGTCAGCTGATTCTTCTGGCATTATGCAAATATCTAATTAATATCAAGGTCCCAAATCTGAAACATTATGTCTTTTCTTTCATCCAGTAGTGATTTACACTCCATCCCACCTGCCAAAAGTTCTCTAGATCTGCTGGATCTAGCATTAAATTAGATACATTTTTTCCATTTTTATGGAAACATCCAGAGTTGAGGTTACTGAACAAAAGATCAGACTTGGAGAGGATGAAGGATGAAGTCCTTCCCTTCTACCCATAACGAAAGTTAAACAAAAGGAAGTTTTCCATTTTATGAAGGGGTGAAAATAAGACATTAAGCTTTCAGATTCCTGCATTTGTACCTCTTCTTAGATGATTCTAACTCTCCTGGTTGCTCTTAACCCTACCATGGCTCTTCTCCAGAAAATATGGATATCTGGAAAAATGAGGTAAGTGGGGTGAAGAGAAAGTAAACAGCTAACCCAAGATATATTTTAAGATGGAAAGTTCTCTATAAATTGTATGAAAAGTGTGTATTCATGGTATGAATTATTTAACAATAGTATACTGACATCCTACAAGAGAACTGCTTATTAAGCCACACAATTATCTTACAGTTAAGCATATCACTTTGTCAAATACTTTATCTTTCTTAGAGTAGTCTCATTTGCTTGGGAAGGATTTTATTTTGGTTTTGTTCTAAACTGCAGTGGAAATTTTAATAGGAAGACAAAAGAAAGAATGGGACAACCTTCTCCTTAATGACTACTAAATACCTAGCTGTACCTCAAACAACTCTTTGAAGCTCACGAATAAAGTGGGGCAAAGAGGTTAAACCACTTGCCACAGGTCACACAGCTAGTAAAAGACAGAGCTAGCATTCCAAATGTGCCTGATTGTGAAATAAGGGGCTTCTCTACTCCTCTACTTAGCCTCCCCCAAGAATACATCCCATCTCCAGAAAGAGCCATCATGTTCTAAGCCAGTAACCAAGGAATTTGGTGATTGAACATTCGTATTAAAGACGAAGAGAAAAGAAGAGTGATCTAGAAATTAAAACTTTGTAAGCTTATGTCCAACATCTGCTAGAAAACCTCAAAACAAGACTAAGGAACTTCCCTAAGAAGTCAGACCTCTCCCTGCTTGCATGATTGTTATGCAAATACATCCAGAGGCAAATTTCTAATGCTTCTCCAAAAACTAACAACTATTTCTATATGCAGTTACATATACATGTGTATAATAAAATATCAAATAGGAAAGAGGGTTATAATTCTTGTTCTTCAATGATTAGATAAAAATATTACCAGAATAAGAAAAGGTGTCTCCCCCTCCCTAATTCTCAAAATAAGAAAGACCGTTCATATATTGTATTCACTAAATCCTTTGTGAATTGGTAATTCACACTAGGCATGCATTGTATATGTTTGATATTTTGATTTTCAAAAAAAATTCATAGCCTAATCACCTTGAGAAACTTTAATTATATGGCTAACCAGGAAACCTATATCCTTTGTTTAGATACTTCATTAAAGTTACTTATTGTAAATGCAAAGTAATTCATTAAGCTGTTTTCTGATAAAATGTAATTCTCTCTGGATAAATTGGTACACCTGCTTAAATATGCAAGATGCAATTGTAGCACAGAATAATGGGGGAATGAAATGCAATTCATCTGTGAATACAGGCTGGGTTGTTCAGAGTGCCACTTAGATCAAAGGTTTCTGCACACATCTGTGCATCCACATAAACACCACCCACGCACTAATAATCATCTATACAACAACCATTTTTTGGCCTGCAATATGAATTCCAATTTGCATGTTAATTATTTTGAAGGAAGATTGGCAGAGTTCCTTACTAAAAGTCACTTTCATTACACATCCAAAATGCTGATTTCCACACGTTTCTCATCTTCATACCTGGAATCACTGTTCTCTTTGAATATCCACTGACAAAATATACGTGACAAATATTTTAATTTAGTCCTTCAGTTAACATTTTTGAAGTCCTAATATAAGCCACACACTAGGATAACATTCTAGGGAAACCAAAGATATTCTCCTCCCCCTTATGAGTTTACAGTTTGTAAGACTTGAAATAAATACAAGTAGAGAAATAAAGTTTTTTTTTTTTAATCAGTTAAACAGAATGTCCTAGCACAATTCATCCTTCTCAACATAAAATACTTCACCATTGTCTCAGGGAGAACTGAGCTGTGTGATTGATTGTAAGGTGCCTTACGTGACCCTGATTTGGCATTATCCAATTCTTTTCTATAGAACATGAAGGTATAATTCCTATCTCCTAAGCCAGAGTAGTGTCCAGCAGACAACACATTGAAACAAGGAATTTTGGCACCAACTTCTACTCTTCTAATAATGCTAGTGATTTCCACTTATTTTGCTGGGTTGTTGAGAAAAATTAATAAGGTATGTAAGCTCTTCTTAAATTTAGGCAAAAACTAATATTAGACAACTATCTTTTCCTCCTGAGAAAATTCTAAAGACAAACTATAGAACTTGGTTCAGTATTATTGAGAATAGCACAAGGCTTGATTTTTTTGCATACTGAATTATGATTAAATTTTACAATTATAAAATATCTAAAAACTAGCTCTTCAAAGACAAATTTTTTTAACAGGAGAAATGTTTCATTAAGCTTTTGTCTACTCAGTAGCAGCAAAGATTTAAAGAAATACTTGAGCTCTGAGATCTCATTTTTCTTTTCATTTTATGACCAAGTGTTGGTTTTTACCATCATGAGGGACCTCCTCCAAGTGAAGCTTCCTAGTTGCTAAGCAGAAGGCTCTGAGCTGCCCTGAAATCAGAAATTTCCCCAATTCTCTGTAGACTAGGCCCTGCAGTTTCAGACATAGTGCTAAGAATTGTCATTAAATATGAGTAGGGGACAGTCATCTGAATCATACCAAGGGCAGAGGAAAACAGTGAAAGGAAAGAGCAGTAGACTTAGAGTTAGCAGACCTGGCATATCGTGCTTTGTTCATCTTTTTATCCAGCATATCTTTATATAACACACTCATGCGCTTTGAGATAGAAACTATGGAAGACACAAAAATGTTTAGTGTCATCTAGGCCACAAGCTGCTTTTGACAATATATAGTATTGCCGTTGATATACAACATGGCGAAGGTCATCACCAAGGGGATCATATAACCTGTAACGTGTGAGTGAGGCCCTGAAGAGCAACTGAGATTCTCATAAGCAGAGATGGGGAGGGTAAAGGGTAGAGTTCTAAAGAGGTGATAGTAGCACAGCACAAGAGGAGGAAATGATGTATACAGAAGAGATCCAATTCAGTGTGGCAAACAGTAGACACTAGATGTTTTTTCCTCTGTTGAATTCTAAGCTAAGGAATTTGAGTAGTATTGGATAGCTAATTATTGGACCATCATCAAAGATTTTTCTGCACCAGGGATATGGATGGGGAAAGGTGGCCTAATTTAAAAAGGCACTTTAAGGGGATTCATGTGGTAATAAATGCCTGATCCTTGGAGTCAGAAAGGCTACTTTAGTAGAACATAAAGGAATGTTATACTCTGAGCTATGGTGAGGCATCCTCTGTTATCTACCCATTAAAAAAAAAAATCATCCCCTCATGCCACATCCCCCTTCAGCTGCCATCTTGTTTTCTGCTCTTCTCCATTTAAAACTCAGAAGAGTTGCCTGTATTTGTTGCCTCCATTTCCTATCCCTTTTATTCTCTCTTGAAGCCTTTCCAACTGGGCTTTCACTCCCAATACTCCAATGGGTCTTTTCTCAAAGTCACTCTCATGGGTTTCTGAATCCAATATCAAGTCTCAGGCCTCATCTAATTTGATCTCTCTACAGCATTTGGGTGAGTTGACCATTCTCTCCTCCTTAAAATTCTATTTCCCCTGACTTTCAGAGTACCACAATCTCCTGATTCTCTCTGATACCACAGGCTGCTCTTTCTGGTCTCTTTGGCTGAATCTCCCTCATCTCAGCAACCTTTAAATGTTGGTTGTTTCACACTTCAGTTCTAGAACTTCTCTACCACATTCATCGCTCAGCGATTCATCTCA